AAGAAAAAAAAGAATCAAGCTGTAGCAATACTTAAAAAAAATTGTGAATCCAGACTTTATCTTTATGCTTATGTTATAGGAGTCCTTGCAAAAACAAAGATTCTTACTGATGAGTTACAGAAATTTGAGTTAAATATTTTAGAAGCTAAAATGATTGTATTGTCTACAATACAATCTCTTTAACGAATTTGAAAAAATGAATTTAATGTGCATCACAAAATTGATGCCGCAATTAAAATATTTAGCAAGCATGAAATCAATGCGTTTGAAGAATATGAAGGTTTTCAAAGATTCCAAAACGCTATGATGACAATCCTGATGCGCTATGTTCTAGAAATATTAATCAATACTACACCCAACAACTATACTGCGTGATAGACTGTCTTATTTACAAAGTGAAAGAAAATTTACTAGCTTCATGGTTAGCGTTGAACCATTTTTTTCTTTTCCAGAAAATAACAAAAACCTTCACGATGTAATACGTTAAAAAACTGTGCCTTTTAATGCCAATAAATGGATAAAATATAGATGCTTATTTATTTCATGCAGAATTAGAAATTTTCATGAACACATTTACTTAATCTGATGTAAAAAATTAAAACTTTCGCGGCAAAGACAAAAAATATTTCCAGGAGTTTTCAAAGCTTTTCAGCTAAATGCTATAGCATCAGTATCTGTTTCAAGCGATGAAAGAACATTTAGCAAATTAAAAATTGTTTAAAAAATTTTAAGTTCATCTATGCCAGAAACTAGATTAGATTCATTAATTTTGTTGGCGTCAGAAAAAGATTTAGCCGACAATATAGATATTGATATGTTGTTAAAAAAGTGTTCTTTAACAACCCAGAGACGTATTCAAATTCAGTAACTGGTTATGCGGTTTCGCGTTATCTATTCATTATTTTGTTATTGACAGCATTGAAAATAAATGTTAAAAAGTATGAGTGGAGCGATTTTTAAAATTTTTGAAATTTTATTTGCCTGAGCTGCGAATTGAAGTCTCTTGGTGAAAAAAGAACCTTACTTTTTTTTTTTTTTCAATTTAAATGAGTTTTATAGGTTCCTCTTTGCATTCTAAATTTATGACGGATCCTAATATTGTTGAAATTTTCTAAACTATATCAACCTGGTACTCAAAAGAAGCAGAATAATACGCTTATTCTGAAGATAATATTTGTTTTAATTCAAAACTAAAGAGAAAAAAATAAGTTTTTTTGCCACATATGCTTAAAATCGATAACAAAACTTTATACAATCCACAAATTATAGATCATGAGTTTAATAAATATTTTGTTGAAATTGGTCCAACACTATCAGATAAAATTCCAATTACTAAAACTTCTTTTTATGATTTTTTAGCACCTCTTGATAAAGGCAATTGCTCTGATGAACTATCGTCCGAATTATCCTTCGAAGAGTTTGAAAAAGCTTTTAAAACCTTAAAAAAAAATAAAGCAACTGGTCCTAATGAAATAAACGAAAATTTAGTTATAGATTGCATTGAACAAATTAAAAATATTATTTTTAAAATCTTCAAAGCATCCATCCATCATGCATCAGCCTTTCTTTGATGAAATGAAAATACTTAATGTCTACAAACTTAACGTTTTTAACGTTTTATGTTTTACTTATATGTGGAAAAACAATTTATCCCTACCTGTTTTTAACGACTTTTTTACATTAAAACTTACTAATAACTACTCTCTAAGAAATAAAGATTTGCTAATTGAACCATTTTGTAGAACAAAATTTAATAAATTTTGTATTAATTATCGAGCACCTTAACTTTGGAATAAAATAGTTCTGCCTTTTATCCTTTATCTTTGGAATAAAATTTTTTGGAATAAAATTTTTTTTTATCTATTATCTTTGGAATAAAATAGTTCTGCCTTTTATCCGTTTTTCTGTTTTATAAAATGAATCAAAAAGTTTTATTCTTGCTATGGATGACATTTTAAGTTACTATTAACCTGAAGTATAAACTTGATTTATAAGATTTTTTTTTTTTTAAAGCAAAGAGTTTTGTCATATATTAAAATTTACAATGAAGTAAATCGTGTAAATAAGAGAACTGGAGCAAGCAGAAGACATAAATTGTCTTATCATCAATCCCCATCATAAAATTTACATTAAAAAATCCTCAGTTAATATAAAAAATGAGGAGTAGCTACGTACATAACAAGAATTTTAAATACGTTAGTTACAATATAACTTATAACATAATATAAATATTAGTGTTGAAATATAAAGCATTATATCAAAGATTAACAATAATTTAAAAGTATTAAAGTTTTTCAACAAAAAATTAAATTAGATTAAAATTGCAACAAAACAGACATAGTGTCAATAACTATTTTTTTTAGATAATTTATATTATTCGTGTATTATTTTTGAAAGAGATATTTTAAATCAAAAGTCGATATAAAGAGATATTTTAAATCAAAGGTCGTTTCAATGCCTGGATCTCTTGCTTCTAAAGCAAGCACTTTAACCACTGAGCGACGACTTTAAACAGCTTGCATAGCTTCAGATTTAAATAAAGAGTGCTTAGAGCGATTATGCTTTTTCAAATAGTTTTTAGCACGGGTTTTGTATAAATTAGAGGTGTAGGATACCCAGCTCAATCATAGTTTTTCGGCGGTATTTTATCGGTCCACGCCAGGCACCCGGCATTTTTAAAAAATTCCGAGTTCCACTGGTTTTAACGAGTAATTAGAATACATAGATGACGGGCTTGTATATGAAAAAACGCCTGAAAACAGGAACCGAGCCGGGTACTCGGCAAATTTTATGTAAAACTCCACTATCAATTTTTTTATTCTCTTTTAGGATTATAGCGGGTATTAAAAGTTGTCTTACTTTAAATTTTTAGCTTTTAGTATCGGACACTGAAAAAGTTACAACGTAAAGCAATAATTAAATACCATTAAGATATCGTCAAGCATTGCTTCCCAACCTTTATAACAATGTCAAGTATGTTAATAGATATACAACTTAAATAGAAATATCAAAAGCCTAGCTGACTAATTGTAAAATAAAACAAAAATTCAATCGATTGCTATTCAATATATTTTTAATATTTTTATTACTATAAAAAAAGTACTAATTATATATTGTTAAAACATAAAACAATTTTCATAGAATAACATGATAAACAAACATTAATGAAATAAAATAAATGTATTACAATATATAAAAAAATATATTAGTTTAAAAAGGTTTCTGAAATATATCATAAATTTATTAAAGTTATTCATTACCAAATTTATGAAGCAAAACTGCGTACTATAATAGAGTGTGTCAGTTTTTTTTTTTTTCCAATTTCAGAAACGGCAAGGTTTCTTTTGGTGAAAAATTTTATGGAGATTCTGAATCTGCAAAAAAAAAAAATTTTAAATAATGTCTTGCTGGGTGGGTCAGCGTTGTTTTGAACGGGAAAATGACTAAAATATGATTAATTAACAGGGGGAAACTATAATTAAAAAAAAAAACTTTTTCGAAAATTTTTGATTAACTTAATAATTTTTATGTTGAATTTTAGGAAAATTTAATATTCGGTTCAAAAAGTCATAAAAACAAACACAGAAAAGGAGTTTTTGTGAAGTGTATTTTTACATATATCACGCACTTTTTTCATATTTTAGACAAAGAATGTTACGGTAAAGTGTTACATTTTTTTTCTTCCTGTTTTTATCAAACTTTGAAAGTAAGGGGAGTTCTATTTTGTGAGGAATTTTATGGGGAATCTGAATCTGAAAAAAAAAAAATAATAAATAAAAGGTGTCTTGCTGGAGGGAACGTTTAGTTTTCAACGAGAAAATGACTAAAATATGAAAAAAAAATTATAAATAAAATTTTTTTTTTTTTTTAAATATTTGATAAACTCAATACAAATTATGTTGAACTATATAAAAATGTCATACTTTGTGAAAAAGTCAAAAAAATAAACATATAATGGGGGCTCTTATGAAGGTTGTTTTAAGAAAAAGTTTCAATATTTTCGTGTTTTAGACAGAGAATGTTACCGTTGGGGGTGCGCTGACTTTTCTTAAACTAATAATAAGTCAAACAATTTTGTTATAATAAACAGTATATTATATACTAATATATTTATAATATATATTATATAATGCTAAATGTGCTTTATTAAAATTTAAATATAATTAACAATTAATAATTTATAAATTTTATTTAAAATTTGTGAGTCCAACTAAGTTATATTTAGCATTGTTTTTGCTCATAAAACCCCGACTGATTTCTTGTGCTCGTATATATCCTTCTCGCTTCTCGTGGGAATATGTTTTGGCACAAGCCTCTGTAACCTATATTAAACATTTAAACAGTTTAGTTATTAAAAGATTTTAAATGAGTTATTATAGCCTCGTAATTGTATAAAATAGAAATCTGTTTAACACAACGTTCGACAGATTGGGAATGGCATGGCCATTCTGGAACAACCATAGGCTTGTGAAAAAATTTTCTGACTTCATGGAATGTGAGGCTTGTGGTAAGTAGTGGTTTGTATATTGAATCTTTCCACTCAATTAGATTGGTCAAATTATCATCATCAGTATTTATGCATAGGGTTTTGCGAATTTTTACTGAATTATCTCCAAACTGGGTGTTATCATCTCCTACACATCTCTAATCACCTTTTGCACTCCGAACTTTCGTTCCTCTTCATCTTTAGAACACAAAAGTAATTTTTTCAAAGTTTTTGTTTGCATCCAGATCTGTTACCGTATCCAGCAGTTTTCTTAATTCACCAGACCATTTATTGTTTGAAAGTGTTTTTCCGTCTAATTCAACTATTAGATGTCTGAGTTCATTAGTATGAAGAGCGCATATTAGCCAGTTCAACCTTTTATTAAGTTTTAATTCTACAAACTGTATGACACCTCCTTCCCATCCAGTATTCACATTTGTTGAATCACCGCCCAATGCTTGTATTGATTTGTCAACACCATGTTGAATCATCCATTCAACTAAATGGTTGGCTACTATTTCGGCATGTTTTTCTTCTTCAGTTGATTTTTTTGTTTTCTACTATCAAACAAAATACAATTGATATCCCCATTGTCTATAGATTTTAAAGTTTCATTTTTTAATTCAATCATGATTTTAGCTTGAGCTCTTACAATTTTTTGATGATCGACAATAAACTGTGTATCTTTCTCAGAAATTAATCCAGCATCAATCCAGGCAGCTGTCGTCAAAGCTGCAGCAGCTCTAGAAGAAACTCCGTATCTGCAAATATAAACATTTTTTGTTATATTTTAATGAAGAGAAATTTCTTTTTAATTTAAAATAACAAAACATATTTTACCTAAGGCTATTTATTGCGACATTTCGAATACTTTTAGTATTATATTTAGACTTTTTTATTTTCGAATAACTTGAAGTACAAGGTTCTTTGTTGAATTCTTCGTAAGAGAGTTCATCTTCAGTCATTGAAAAATCATTGGTTAAAATTTTATTTGTTGTTATGCTCTCTTCCCTTTTTCTCTTAAAAGCTTCTTTAATAGAATGATTATGTAATGTTTTAACTTGTTTATTGTGTTCAGACAAATCTTTGGAAGATATTTGAAGTAATCCTGTAGCACCAACTTTATCTCTTTCAGTTTTAATATAAAAAATGTCTATAATAGGAATTTTAAACTCCTTATAGCAGTTGCATGTAATGTGGGCTTGTTGTTTACAAACAATTTTGCATCCAAATATTTCAAGTACATAACAACAGCAAAATGTGTATATTTTTAAAATGATAAACTGTGCTAAATTCCTCCCCACGTGTGAATTTCCCGTCTTTACATTCCAGAACCACTGTTACACACAATATATTTGTTTTTGTACATTTGTAAAAGGAGATCGGATTATGAGGTTTCAGTTAAAAAAAGTATACATATTTTAGTTATTACCCTGTAAACACCGTACGACGGCCCTTTATTGGGCCAATAACTTTTTTGAACATAAATAACGAGCCATTGTATGCCATTGTTTTGCTTAAATTGCTGAGGCTTTGCGTTTGTCGGCTTGCATCTGTAGGCGATATACAAGGCTAAATACTGGCCGACTTATTTGGGAATTTATTGTGCCAAGATTGGCTAATAAATATATAATAAATATATATATATATATATATATATATATATATATATATATATATATATATATATATATATATATATATATATATATATATATATATATATATATATATATACCAATAGCTGCTATAAAGTCGTATTTTAAATATGGCGCACATTTCGGATTAACGCAATCATTTTGGACCGATATTAATAATATTATTATTGGAAATAAGATATTATTTCAGAACTGAATTAAATTTAGAACTGTATTTTAAATTCAATATCAAAGTATACATATATATGAATTATACGCATATTTTTTTCCATAGTTTTAATTTATTATAATTATAGCTTTACTAAAGTTTATAAAGTATATAACTTATAAAAAAAGGGATTTCAACAAATCATGGATACTGTGCAAACTTATTGGTCAAAGAGAAGAAAAATAGTTAAATCTGTCAACAAAATTATGTCCGATATTGATACAGAATTTCTATTTCTAATAATAATAAAGCTTTAAAAAAGTTAATTTTTGTATGTCATGCCTCTTAATAAGAGGCATGACATATAAAACTATTACAATTGAATACAATTGTAATACAATTGAATCCATTGATGTAGAGTCATTTTTGAATGATAGCATTGAGGAAAACGAACCTGATATTGAAAATGAAAAAAGAGAGCTATCATTTGATTTTGGAATGTGGGCAGCATTCTTTTCTATTCCTATGGTTGCAGTATCTTCACTTTTGGATATACTTAGAGTGTTGCACCCATCACTTCCAAAAGATCTGCGAATGTTACAAAAACACCTAGAGCAAGAACTGTCAAAACAATTGAAGGGGGCTCCTATTATCACTTTGATGTTGTTAATTCATTGCAACACATAATTCATTTGCCTTATTTTTGTACTAGTCTTTGCTCTAAAACTCTATCACTTTCTCTACAAATTAATATTGATAGATTACCTTTACAGAAGTCAAATACTAAACAATTTTTGCCGATTCTAGCAAGAGTATCAATCCCATTTTCAAGTAATCCATTTTTGATTGGCTTGTTGAATAAATATTTAAAAGATTTCATTGAAGAAATGTTAGAATTGGAAAAAGTTCCTATTAAAATTGATGTAGATGGTACAAAATACTCCATAAACATTGGTATATCCTGCCTTGCATGTGGTATTCCTGCAAGGGCATATAAAAAACAAACAAAAGGACATAGTGGATATTACAGTTGTAATAAGTGTATCCAAAAAGGGCAATGGCACAGTAAGGTTACATTTCTTAAAACCGATGCTCCACTTAGAACTGATCAATCTTTTAATGAAATGACAGATGCTAATCATCACATTGGAGATATTCCGCTTAAAAAATTGTCTATTGGAATGGTAACTCAGTTTTCACTTGATTTTATGGACCTAGTGTGTCTAGGAGTAATGAAAAGGATTTTGATGTTTTTAATAAAAAAGCCCTGTTAGTGACGGAATAAGATGTGTTTCACTTATTTCATCACTAACAGGGCTTTTTATTGAAAACACTGCTTTTCAACGCTCTATGTATTTAAGTGACATAGAGCGTTGGAAAGCAGTGAAACTCAGTCAATTTTTATTATACAGTGGCATTGTTGAACTAAAAGGACATCTTTCGAAATCTTTATACAACAATTTTCTTTCTTTTTTTGTTGGGACACACTGTTTAGCCAGTTCAGATCTTTATCAAAGTCATGCTGATTATGCGGAATCTATCTTACGCGCCTTTGTAAAAAATGCTATAAAAATTTATGGCAGAGGTTTTATTAGCTACAATGTACACAGCCTAATACACATTGCAAGTGATGTAAAAAGATTTGGATCTGTTTTGAATTACTCTGCATTTCTGTTTGAAAATTTTCTAGGGTATTTAAAGCATTTAATACATAAACCTTATTTACCACTTTAACAGATTATCCGGCGTATATCTGAAAGAAATGGATCAATTATAAGAAACTCTGATAAATGTATGAAGGAAGGCATTCCCAGGAAGCTGCTTGGTCCTAAAATGGTCCTATTGTTTTAAGAGCACAAACAGAGTGTCTACAGTATCAAGAAATTACTTTAAATGGAATTTTTTACTCTACTTCAAAAGGAAACAATTGCATGAAAATAAAAAATGACTTTTGTTTAATTTGTAACATATTAAAATTTCATGGTGATAATAGGCTTTTTGTTGTTTATGAAAAATTTCTTACTATTGAACATTTCTTTAGATATCTTGCAAATTCTTTCGAATGTTTTAGTATAGTATAGGTCTCTAAGTTATCATGTCAGCATGAATCTGCCACAACAGATGAAATACAGAAAAAATATGTTATACTACCATGCAAGTCCAAATTTGTTTGTATTCCTCTGTCTATGAAGCATCAAATACATAAATTAAAAAAATGATATTATATTATCATTATATAATATAAAGAACATAAAAGTTTACCTTTATTTTTTAAATTAATTAGTATATTTTTATCTATTTCGAATTGACTTCATATATAATAACATTTATCTTTTAGTATAAACTCATTTTCGTGTGCAATAGCAAATAGAAAATGTTTATTTCTTTATAGGTTATTTTTTTGTCTCTAATTAAAGGAAATGGTCTTGATGACTGTTTGAGAAAAGTTGCTAAGAAAATCTTGACAGCAAAACTCTCAATTCTTTATAACTTTACAGGAAGAAAAGGGTAAATTAGAGTTTGGTTGTCTAGTTGGGGTGAAAAATGTGATATATGGTAGGCAAACTTATAAATAAAATTACTGTCATTATTATTTATTCTAAAAAAAAGTATACAACATAAAATTATGTTCTACAAGAATTTACGTGGTGTTACTATTACGAATTTAAGTCGTGTTCACATCGATGTATGGAAGGGGCGAATAACCCCCCCTAACCTAAAAAAAAAAAATTAAAAAAAATTAAAATGACACTACTGTTTCCTAAAGTCCCAAAACAAAGTTTTTTTCTGTATAAAAAAGGTTCTATAAATTAATACTGGACAAAAAAGAGGGGCTGTTAAAAGAGAGAGGCTATCTCCCCTTTTCCACCAACTAATCATTTTTTTTTAAAAAAGCATTTTTTGATTAATTGGAGAATTTTTGGTTAAAATATTCTCATACAGAGTTCTATTATCAGTCAATAGTGGTAAAAAGGTAATCAAAACAAGGTATTTACCAACCATTATAAATCTTCAAATCTTTCATATATTCCTTGATACTAGTTTGGTTAACGAAAAGTTAGGCTGTTTCAAACTAAAAAACAAAAAAAAAAATGTTATTAACACTAAATAATGTTTGATTATTTTAATGATGCTTTATTTGATAAAGTTTTTTCTTGGCTTTTAGTGAATGATTACAATTTCAAATTCCACTAATGAAATTATTTTATAATTATTTTTAACAATAGACACCACATGAAGGTAAGCCAGAGCCGTCTATCAAAAATTCATAGCAAGTCACAACACTTGCAGTACTTTTTGTTTATCAAGTCACAACACTTGCAGTACTTTTTTTTAGCAAGTCACAACACTAGCAGTACTTTTTTTTAGCAAGTCACAACACTAGCAGTACTTTTTTTTAGCAAGTCACAACACTAGCAGTACTTTTTTTTTAACAAGTCACAGCACTTGCAGTTTTTTATTCTATAAATTTCAAATTTATATATTTGCAGTGTTTTAACAAAATAAGATCTAATCAACACTCTGGAAACAATATCTGCAACAAGCTGAAACTTTTTCATGCAATGTTCTACAGCTTTGATATCCATTTTATTAACCAACCTTTAATAATTTTTAAATCTTTCAAATAGTGCTTTGGCTGTTTCAAACTAAAAAACAAATAAAATGTTATTAAAAAGAAATAATAATGGTTTGTTTATTTTTATCTTATATAGTTTTGTCTTGGCTTTTAGTGAATGGTTACAATAATAAATTTCTTTTAGCTAGTCACAACACTGGTAGTATTTTTCAGCAATTCATTTGTAGTACTTTTTTAGCTTAAATTTCAAACTTGTACTTTCATAGTGTTTTATTAATGTAATATAAAATTAATAAAATTGTAACTCTTCTGAAATAACAGTAAGAAATAGTGCAAACTAAGTCATTTTTTCAACTAAATACTTTTTCTACTCTGCTATTATACAAAACAGACTTGGATGTTTAGAATCATATCATTCATAATATAGTTTTTTGCCTACAATTCTTCTATACATGACATCTTCTAAATAAAAAAGTTGGTCATTAGACAAATTTTTGTATGAATCTATAATTTTATCATAACTCAGTTTGAATTGCTAACGCTCTAAGTTTTTTTGCTATAACTTTTTTCTTTTTCATTGATTTTTTGGCACTTGGATGCCTGTCTTCGGGAAATATTGGCTCTAATTTTAGCCTGATGCAATAGATTGCTAACTCTATATATACGTGCTACATGAACTGAGCATTTAACTACTTTATCTCTCAAATTACTAATATAGAAACCTTACCAGCTGCAACAGATGACAAGGATATTTAAGATTAAATAATACAATGACACAAAAGATTAAATGGTACATGTAAATATTACATATTAAATATACATATATAGTAAATATAGCATAACATAGTACATATTAAATAATAAAATACTGCATAATACACAAAATCAGGCTATATTTCTCAATACATACACATAAAAATACACATTAATCTCTTACCAATTAATGAAGTAAGTGTTGCTAAAGAACTAAAAAGAAATAAGTAATAACAATAGTAATATGTTTACTAAAATAAACTTAATTTCAAGTTACAATTTTTGTTACAACATCTTTAGCTAGCGTGTATCAATAAATTAACCACCTTGAGCTTGTGTATCAATTAAGTAATAATCTTTAGTTAGCATGTAT